TTAACAATAATATAGAGCTTATATTATCCTTGATCGAAAAAATACTCTAATTGATTTATGTTTCTTTGATGGATGGATAATATAAAACTATTTTTTTTCGTTAGTCTAATAGGTGTTGTTGTAAAACCAGGTAAATTTGAATTTTTATGACAAAGGACAAAACAGTAAATTGTCACTTCAGTACGGGTTGAAAAACCTAATTTTTTTAGAACTTGGATGATGAAACGAACCTCACTGTTGGATTCGTCTCATGAAATCTAGTTATCTAGTCAACTTTCGTTGAATTTTGAGATAGTTGAATTTTTTACATTTTATGGGGCGATCAGGTGTCGCGTGACCTAAAAACGAGGCATGGAATTAAATTTCCAAAACTAGAAAATAATTTAAATCTAGTTCAAATCAAAATATTTTGAACTAGAATCATGCTGAAATTGAATTGTTTCAGAACAAAACTGAACCCGGGAATGGTAGATGTGTGGTGCGACGAGGGCCTTCCAAAAGTTATAAATAGGATAGAAAATCAGATCTTCTCCTCATTTTTCAGCAAGGTTTCATTGGAGAGGTAAGAGAAGAAAAAAGATAGAGTTTTCAACTTCTCTCTACGATCTACGGCTACCCGCTGGTCGGAACCCTTCGGGCTAAGAATCAAAGTTGGCCTACGTGATGAGGGCCATGAATATGTACCAAAAATTGTAGGTTTCACCGAAGTTTTAAAAACAGAATTTGGGGAAATCAAGGGCTAAGATTTGATTTGAGTTTTTGAAGGTTTCTACCCCTTCTTGCTAACCCCAACTCTAGTTTCAATGTAACCCATATGACTCAGTCGAACCTTGGTCCAACTTTTTTGAGCCCACACATCATCCACCAAGAATGATGTTTGATCAAAACCATGCACACACCCACACTTATGTCACATGCCCACGAATGTGATGCATCCCGTGCATATGCAAGTGTGATGTATAATTACAAATTCCATATCATGTTCAATATGTCATGAGCATATATGAATAACATTTCATCTCAAACAACGTTCCCAATTATCAATTGTATCATAAGCATATAATTACAATTTACAACATCATCAAAAACATGTTATATCAATTTTATTCAAATAACATGCTCAATCCATTCAAAGTATTTTATCAAACACCCAAAAGACACAAAATCATGTAATACACAATCAAGCCCAATTTATCACATTATCCATGAAATTCCCAAATCAAGCAATTTCAACGACACCCAATTCATGCAAAATTGGTTTTAAGCATTTCTATACCCATTTCCACATTTTAACCACAATATGTATGTGTCATACATGAGATTATATCTCTAACACCAATTTCATATTTCAACCATAGGTTGGAAGTAAACCTAGGTAAGAGAAAAAATCTGCCTCTTGAAGTGTAATACGAGTGGTAGAAACTCCAAAAAGCCCAAATCAAGCTTCAAACCTTGATTTTCAAAAATATTGATCTTGAGACTCCAGTGAAATTCATGATTTTTGGTAAGCAGACGTAGCTCTCATCGAGTAGATTGACCTTTATTCTTGGCCCGAAGCAATCTGACGAAAGTTTAGATGGCAAGGAGAAGATGAAAGAAACCCTTGTTTTCTCTCTCTTCCTCTCTCTCTCTCTCTCTCTCTATTTGAAAATCAGCAGCCAAAATGGGGGAAAAATATGATTTTTCCCCTTTTTATACTCCTAGGATATTTGACCCACAATGCGCCACAAGTCTTATCTTTTGCTGATCCGGTCTTATTCCAAATCAATTGAATCTCATTTCGTGTTATGTTCAAAATATTTTAGTTGAACTAATTTTAAATTATTTTCCATTTTTAGTAATTAATTTCCCATCACGTTTATTTTGATCATGTGACAACCGATCGCATTGTTAACCGTAAAAAATTCGACTATCTCAGAATTTTATAAAAATTGACTGAGTAACTAGATTTCACGAGACGAATACAACGGTGAGGTCCGTTTCTTCATCCGGGTTTTAGAAAATTTTGGGTTTTCAACGTGTACCGTAGCGACTAATTACTGTTTTGCCCTTTTTAATAAATATTTAAATTTTCTTGAGCTTTATGAAAGCCATAATTATAAAAACAAACCAGTCATATTTGAATTATAGCTGACTATCAATCACATGAACACCAACATTATGTTGTGAATACAAAAAAAAATAAAAATAAAAATTTTCACATCAATCCATCATCAATCCATCAGACTATAAAATTTACCTTTCTTAACATTTCCAACAAAACCATATTAACACACACACATACATATTCAATTTTAGAGAATCTTATAAACCCTTTTCAAACCAAAAAATATCCATTAGTCCTTCCCTTACTACATGTTCTCATAATTTGTTTGTGCAACATTATTCTATCATTATCAATTGAGAGATTCAAGTAAAGAATTTGAATCATTCACCTCTCAAAAACACAGCTTAGATGATGTTATCATTTGCTTTTTTCATAATTACATATTTACTTTTTTCATAATTACATATTTATTGCCAGTAACTTGCCTCAAAATTGTAGCTACATTTTTACACTATGATGTGTTTACAGTCTTCCTTTTCTCATCCAAAGTCACATTTTGCTAAGATTAATATTCACATAATATAAGAATTGATATTGCATACAACAAGTCCTCATATATCATTGTAATCAACTAAAAACAAACGGATATACCTCATTATCCATCCTTAATACTCATGGTTTGGAAAATTCTATTTTTAGCATTCTTAAGTTAGGTTCACATAACTATCTTCTATATTACCTTTAGGGTTTGTTTGTTTAGTGGGAGAATGGTAGAAAATGCAAGAATGAGAAACTTTTTAAGATACAAGAAAGTTGTGATCTATAACTAACTTCTTATTTTACCCTTATTTTTTTTAAAATATTTTATTGGTTATTAATTTTAAAAAATTTTGGTATAGATTTGATTAATTATGTAAGTTGGCCTAAAAACCTTTGTGTTGGTGATTCTCTTAGAATTAGGTTTCAAGAATTTTTTTTAAAAATTTTAACTTTCAATTATAATTACATATTTTTTTAGACCGATTTAATATAATTAAGGGTCTTTACTTTCTTTCAAACAGTAGAATGAAATTTATTTAAAACATTCCCATAAATTTTTCATTCTAACAAAATACATGCATGGAAATATATTTTCTATCATTTTCTTTTCTTTCACTTCATGTTCTATCATTTTCACTTTTCATCATTTTTTTCTTCCTAATCAAATGGAGCCTTAGCCATAACTTCGGTGTATTAGTTATGTGTACAACAATCCTCAACTACAAATTCATCACACCCGATACGTTATTCCATGGTAAAATTTTTGATGCCAGAGGTACCTAATATGAACTTTAAGACAAGATATCACTATCAAACAAAAATAAAATCCTTAAATTTTAGCATAACCAACCCCCACCTTAATATGTTTCTACAACAATTTTTCCCCCGAAAGTTCATAAACATACCGAGATAAACTTGGTGAAATTAAATTTCACAAATGCAGTGGAGTTTTAAACTCCAAAAGATAATCATAGAACTGGCATTACCAATATTAATATCTTTTCATTTGATCCGATAAATATGTTTTCCTTGTATATGCATTGTGTACTTCCATACTAGTAAATCAAACTTTCAACACACTTTATCCATGTATATACCAACCTGACACTCGACTTTCAATTGTCTACTTGGTCTTATTTTCCCCCTTTATCGATTTCTACTTAAGTTAGATATCCATTCTAAGATTATCTAGATATTCAACACGCATCAATGCACATGTAACGACCCTAAAATTAGGGGTCTTTTGTCAACTCGTTGATCACCAATCAACCAGCGGAATACTCGTGGAAACCGTGTAACTCGATACCACGCCATTATGCCCCATTTACTGGGATCCGTAATTTAATAAAATTCGCCAGAGTCTCCTTTGTATAGAGAGCTCTACTCAAAACGCAACCTTTGCAATCACATAACATTGATCACACTGGGTCTATTTATCCATACTTATATAACAACATGCAATTTACATTAAACATAGTCCATATTAGTTCAATTACAATCCTTTACATACATTACATGCCCAAAAACTAATTTACATCTTAATTTTACAAAAGTATAGTTTAAAAGCCACATTTCGACTTTTCTTCATCAATGAGGGCCTGAATGAGAGCCGTCTGCTGGTGCATGTCCCGCACTTGAAATATAGTCTCCATAAAGGGTGAGTCACGCTCAATAGGGTATCTCCTAAAGAGGCTACTCCCCAACCTAGATGCATATGAAATGTTCACATCCAATTCACAAGCAACAATCACTCTATTCAGGAATATGAAATTCAATAATGGAATCCTCAATTCTATGCCATGATATGAGATGAGACTCACACATGCAACTCAAACCAAGCCTTTACCAACTCCCTTAACACATGCAATGCCATGCATATGAATCCGGGCATTCCAATCTCCCACCATTGATGTTACACATCCAATGACCTTTTTAAAATAAAGCATGTGTCTTTGTTGGGTATTCAAATATTGAAATCTCACCGCCGACTTCGTATACTGTTACACTTTTTCGTACTTGTACTCTCGGAAGTGTATAAACCAGTAACCGGATTTTGCACTCAAGGGTAAGGGTGTCAATCTTGTCGGGTTAAATGGGTGAAAAACATGCAAATCCATACATGACATGTTTAATAAACTGGTAAAAATCTTCAACATGAACACGAACCGCTTAATAAACGGGTAACACAACACGACTTATTTAACCCATTTAAAAATAACAAAAAAAAAGTAAAAAATTATTATTTTAACAAATTTTTACACTCCATTTTTTTTGCTTCCAACTGTACTTTCCTCAATTGGAGGAGTTCGACGTGATAAGCCACACCACAAAGATCAACTAAAAGGAGGAGACCCACTACCTCTTTTATAGGCAACTAAAGCCCCCTCTCTCCACTCCCTAGTCGATATGGGATTCAAAGAACTTGAAGACCAATTTTTACCATATGGAGATCACGACTACTCAAAGTGCTCTCCACCAGATGGGGTCCTGCATGAACATCATATATGATTGGTCTTTCAAACCAAGGGATCATTAGGTGCGTTCCTTCAGTGTAAACCTTATCTTTGACGCCAATAATATGGTTGAAAACAATAGCTCGATTTCCTCCTTCAACATTGTAGAGACTATTAGCAGCTCCGTATATGCCAAGCCCAGCAATTGCTCCAAACTTGATCAAAGCAGAAGCCGCACCACCACCCAGAACATTTGGAATATTCACATTCTTGAAATTCATTTTCTCCAGTTACTGATCTAATGGAAGCCGATCACTAGCGAGACGAAGTAATGTGGGATTCAAAGCAAAAGGCAATTCAATGCCTCAAAGGCTCAAAGCTTTTGTTTCCTATTTTTTTGAACTAATTTCCTTACTTTTTTTAAAAATATTTTCTTTACTCATTCATTATATAAAGTAATTATTAATTTATTATTATATTAAATTTATTTAAACAAATAAACGGGTGATAAACGGGTTAACAAGTCTCACCCGAACATAATCCCGTTTATTAAATGTGTCTGACAGGTCAACCCATTTATCACCTAAACCCGTTAAAGTTTCATCCAAACCCTCTTAATTCATGTCAATTCTTGTCAGTTAATCGTGACGTTTTGGATTTTGACAGGCCTACCCGAGGGGTTATCTGGCCTTTCTTCCTATACCTGACACAAGTTTTTTTTTTTATGCAATCGTGCTAGTTCCAACCTTCCCGAGTCCATGTATCAACCACCAAAAATGGTGTTTGATTAAAAAATATGCACACACACTCACACTCATGTCAAATGCCTACGAATGTGATGTTACCCGTGCATGTGCAACGTAATTGTACAATTGTTATTCTCAACCATGTTCAATATGTCATGAGCACATTATGAACAATTCAATATCCAACAACCTTTTCCATGGTAAATTACATCACAAGCATATAACTACTATAAATAACCTCAACGTAATATCATATGCATATACTAATACCAACTCCCAAGCATGTTATAAGAGAATTAATGCAAATAACACATTTAATTCACTTAGGGATTTCATCAAACACCTTTAAGGAATAAATGTAAACACATTGTAAAACTCAGGTAAATTTAAATTTTTGTGAAAAAGAGCAAAACGATAATTTGACACTACGGTATGGGTTGAAAATCTAAATTTTTCAAGAACTTGGATGATGAAATGGAGCTCATCGTTGGATACGTCTCACAAAATCTTGTTACCAAGTCAATTTTTGTATAATTCTAAGATAGTCAATTTTTTCAGGTTTTATAGGGCGATCGGGTTTCGAGTGACCTAAAAAGAGACATGGAATTAAATTTCAAAAATTAGAAAAAAATTTAAATTTAGTTCTAATAAAAATATTTTGAACCTAAATTGAAACGAAATTTAATCGTTTTGGGACGAAATCGGACCCCGGGAATGGAGAACATGTGACACAATGGGGGCCAAGCATTCCAAGGGGTATAAATAGGGGAGAAAATCAGCTTTTCTCCCCATTTTTTAGATTTTTCTTATGTTGAAGAAGAACATAGGGAAAGGAGGAGTAAAAGACAGAGTTTCCAACTTCTCTCTACGATCTACGACTATCCGTTGGTCGGAATCCTTCGGGCCAAGAATTAAAGTTCATCTATGCGACAAGGGCTATGACTACGTACCAAAAATTTTGGATTTCATCGAAGATTCAAAAATGGAATTTTGGAAAAATCAAGATTTTGAGCTTGATTTGTGTTCTTGAAGTTTTCTACCTTTGTTTTACGCTTTAAGAGGTATGGTTTTTTTTCCTAATTATGTTTATTTTCAACCTAGGATTCCATATGATATGGGTAGCATAAATTGAGATGAATTCTCTTATTTAATGTATTCCTAGTGTAAATAAAGTGTGGGAAATGGGTATATAAATATGCTAAACCAATCTTGCATGAATTAGGTTTGTAGAAGTTACTTGTTTGATAAATTCATGAAAAATATAGGTAGTTGAAATGTGAGAAATGGGTATTTAAAATGGTTAAAATCAATTCTAGCATGAATTGGGTATGTAAAAATTACTTGTTTTGATTTTTTGAGAAATGTGATCATTTGTGCATAATATGTGTTACATAATTTTGTGCCTTGAGGTTGTTTGATAAAATTCATATTTAGATTAAGTGTGTTATTTACATTGATTATGTTATAACATGCTTGGAATATATATGGAAAGGGTAGAGTGTTAGAGATGGAATCTCATGTTTAGTATTTACCTATGGTACTTGAAATGTGGAAAATGGGTATTAAGAATGGTTAAAATCAATTCTAGCATAAATTGGGTATGTAGAAATTACTTCTTGTAATTTCTTAAGCTATGTGATTATTTGAGCATAATATGTATTACATAATTCGTAAAACCCGGGAACATTTGAACTTTCTATGAAAAAGGGCAAAATAATAATTTGCCACTATAATGCAGGTTGAAAACCCATATTTCTCTAGATCTCAGATGAAAAAATGGACCTCACCGTTGAATTCGTCTCATGAAATCTAGTTACCTAGACAATTTTTATCGAATTTTGAGATAGTCAGCTTTTTCGAGGCGACAGGGTGTCGGGTGACCTAAACAACGAACCTAAAAATAAAATTTTGAAATTTTAAAATAATTTAAAGGAAGTTTATATAAAAATATTTTGAATTAAAATTGGGATAAAATTTAATTATTTCGGGGTAAAAACGGACCCGGGAATAGGGAACGCGTGGTGTGACATGGACCAAGTATGAAAGGGTATAAATAGGAGACAAAAATCTGATTTTCTACACAAAATCTCTGTTGGGTTTTAACTTTGGCAGAAGAAGAGAGGAAAAAGAGAGAATTCAAACTTCTCTCTACGATCTACGGAGTTCCACCGGTTGGAATCCTTCGGGCCAAGTATTAAAGTAGATTTACACGATGAGGGCTATGCAACCATACCAAAAAGTATGGGTTTCAATGAAGTTCAAAGGCGAGATTTTAAGGAAAGCTTGATTTTGAGCGAGATTTGGGTTCTTGGAGCTTCCTAGCATTGTCTTACGCTTCAAGAGGTAGGGTTTTCATCCTAACGAGGTTTATTTCCAACCTAGGACGACTATATGAAATGGGTGGCCTGTTATATATATTTTAACATTTCCCTATTGTAGTTGATGTAATGAAAATAGGTAAATTCAATGTTTGTATGAATTGGTAATTACAAATTGCTAGCCTGTGATTTCTTGGAAGTTTGCATAATAAATGGGGAATGTAGAAATCATTTAATGTGATTTCTTGAGTTATGTGATGAATTTGGTCATTTTATGTGATTACATGATTTGGTGCCTTGAAGGTGTTTGATTAAATGCCTATATGAAATACAGTGTGTTAATTGCATGAGATTATGTGAAAATATGCTTGGGAATTGTTGTTGCATAAAAATGTTGATATATGCTTGATGATGTATTGACATTGTGATGATTTATAAAAATTATATGCTTTGGATATAATTTCCCATAGAATGTGTTGAAATATGGTTGAAATAATTCATATGGCATGGTTTGCATTGAAAATAGGGGTTAGGGTTAACAAGAATGACTAGACAATCCCTCGGGTGCAAAACCCGATTACTTAGGATACGCACTCCTTTGGTTTAGTCCATGAAGTGTGTCGGTGTACGCGGAACCGTTGGTGGAGGTCCATGAATTCCGTGTTGGTTGGGTACTCATTGGTATATGTCCATAAATACCCACCCCAATAAAGACCCAAAGGTTTATAATGGTCAATTGATGTGTAACATAAATGACGGTTTCATACACATTGACATTACATGTGTTATGGGAGTCGGTAAGGGCCTGAGTTGATAAGTGAGTCTCATCTCATTCCATGGCATGACATGGTGATTTCCAACATTGAATTGCATATTCCTGATTGGAATGGTTGTTGCTTGTTGAATGTTGCATGTGGACATTTCATATGCACTCAGGATGGGGAGTGGCCTCTTTAGGAGATACTCTATTGAGTGTGACTCACCCTTTATGGGAAAACATTTTAGGTGGGGGTTATACATCGGTGGACAACTCGTATTTGGGGCCTCAAGGATGAAGAAAAGCCGACTCGTGACTTTTAAACCTTGTTTTGTAAAACTTTTGTGAAATTCAATTTTGGACATGTAAATCTATGGAAATGATTGTAATCGAACTTGTATTAATTGTGTTTGATGCATAAATTCATGATGTGGGAGTATGAATTGATGTATATTGGATCTTTGATGGGTCATGTGATTAAATGTTGTATGATTACATAGGTTGTGTTTTAGGTAGAGCTTCTCGTACAAAGGAGACTCTGCTCGAATTTTTTTAAATTATGGATTCTGGTAATTGGTGTATAATGTTATGATATCGAGTTACACGGTATCCACGGGTATTCCATGGGTTGATGGGTGATCAATGGGTTGACAACGGACCCTTGGTTTTTGGGGCGTCACAACTTGGTATCAGAGCTTAGATATACGATTTACATTGGGCTTGAGGGACATGAGTTTAGACCATTGCATCCGTTGTACATTCCATGTTATGTGTTATATGCTATGTGAATTATATGCATGGTGAAATGTATAGCGAACACAACATGACCCAAAAAATTTATCTCCATCAACCAAAATTGACACTTGTTGAACTTGACATACAACTGGTGGTCTCTCAAGGTCTGGGGAATGATTCTCAAGTGACCCTCATACTCCTTCTTAGACCTGGAGTATATCAAAATGTCATCAACAAAAACTGTGACAAACTAATCTAGATAGGGCTGGAACACCTTATGTATAACATCCATGAATGCCGTCAGGGCATTTGTTAATTTGAATGGCATCACCGTAAACTGGAGATGCCCGTATCGTATCTTAAACATTGTTTTAGGGATTTTCGCTTTCCTAATCCTCAATTGATGGTATCCCGTGTGTAGATCTAATTTGGAGTAAACCTGTGCCCCTATCAGTTGATCAAATAAATCATCTATGCACGACAATGGGTACTTGTTCTTGATGGTGACCCAATTCAATTGTCGGTAGTCAATACACAACTTAAGGGTCTTGCCCTTTTTCTTGGCAAAAAGCACCGGAGCACCCCAAAGTGAGGTACTTGGTCTAATGAAACCCTTGTCCAACAATTCTTGCAAACTCCGCAGGTGCCATCTTGTCCAGTGTCATAGAAATAGGAGATGCACCGGATCGTAACTCAATTGTAAAGTCTACATTCCGATGTGGAGG